CCAACTGAAACACCGTATGATTTACTTGTTAAGTTTAGTTTTAGTAATAGTTTTCCGGAACTTGCAACGCAATTAGGTTCCGAAAATTAGAGGTGTTACGTACTAGAAAGTAACATGTTTTGAAGAAAAGAAAGAGGACAGATGAGGAAGATAAATGTTTGATCGTTTTAACAAACCACACCAGAGCACCTACTAACCACCCTCAATTCGCCTGCAATTGTCAGCTGAGCTGAGATCAGTGTGTCGATTGGAGGTTTATACGCGGAACGCATCTTTGAAAGAGAAACGTATGGTAAACAATCGATGCGAATCAAGTGAAAAGCAAACGATTGGACCAGGAAACTCTGCCAGTCACGAGTGCCGTTTGTGTAGATTAAACGCTGTGATTGTTATACTTTTTTCCACCTTGTGATGAAAGGATTCTACTTGTCTCCCCCCCCCCCCCCAAACCCCCACTCCATTTGTATAGATATATGATATATTGTACATTGCATTTATTTTGCCTCTGTATTCTTCTTAGGAAGTTGAGATTTTTCAGAATGCTATCGGGTCTGCTGGGGAAATAAAAGATTGTAAAGCGTCCAGAGCTTGCTGTAGAGCGGGTATTTGCGCTATACAAATGCTGTAATATATTATTATTTTTTACTCACTATGAGCCGCAATGCACGATGTGCTCGCATTGAGCGATGCTTCAAAAGGTGCGCCTTTTTTAGCTGGTAGATTAAAACTCCCAACAACGAAATAGATGACTTGAGTTTTATTCCTTAAAAAGAAGTAGTTGCTAAATCATCTTGTTTTTCTGTGACGTCCTAATGCTCTCCGCAATTTCTACCTCGTACAAACGTAAACTGATAGGCTTTTTCATTAGCTTGACGTGCATGTTTTGCTACAGGCGCCCCTTCCCACTCGAACGAGCTAACAAAGATATAATTAGAGGAGAGACTGCATAAAAATTAATAATCGCTCTCTTTACAGCACGGCCAATTTTAATTATATTATGACGTTGTCCGCACGTCTACTTTTGTGTGCTTAGGAAATATGCCGCTTTAAAAAAAAAAGAGAAGAAAACGTATAAGCCTCGACAAAACAGGCATGCAGCCAACTACCAAATCTAACGAACTGATCGCTTGAAAGTGTTGTGTGTCCGTGATAACTTGGACACTTTTGTTTGTGAGTATGTTTTTACTTCCTGCACAATACTAATGCTTATTCCGATGATGTTTATGTTTTTGGACCTACTTTATTGTAGATGGTGTTGTCTCAATTGATATAACAACGGTACTGACGTATGACTTACCCCCCC